CGAGAGACAGCGGCAGGCCTGGTTTTCGTTCGATTTCGTTCGAGCGTTGGATTGCCACGATTAGTCGCGCACGAACGCTGTCTCATCCTCTCTCTCTCTCTCTGGAGGCATTTCTCCGCCGTTTCGAAGGAAGAAGGACGAAAATTTCTCCGTTTTATTCGAAAATAATCGGGAGGGCTCGTTAAGGATTTTTCTTTTTTCCAGTTCGAAAAATTGGAACGGATGCTTCACGAGTTTTCCTTTATTTTAGTCGTCGAGACGACGAAAGTTATTAGTCATCTTTGCCCGCTTTTCGATCGTCGACTGATTGTAAAAGTGCGCGGTGGAAAAGTCGTTTCGCACGCTTCAAATAATAAAGCGAAATAATCGAGTCGTTTGGAAAGGGAGAGAAGAGCAAGGGAGGACAGACGAGGGATTTCGACAAGCGGATGAGAGCGAATTCGATCGCGACGACTCTGCTGCGCCGCGAGAAGAAACAATTTCTGCCGTCGTCCCCCACTCCGAGGGCGATCCTCGACGGCGATCCAATTTCCGCGACCATTTTGTCATTAAGCCGAGAAAGGCTCGGCGCTCCTCTTTTATATATCGGTTACGGGGCGAGGCGGGAAGGAGAATCTAATTTTCGTTGATTGATACAAAGGACGTAGCCAGCCGCGATAACTCGAGACGTTCTCGATAGCCGAAGCGGGTTACGAAGCGGGAGGGCAAACTGTCGTGGCCGAGGTGAGTCATCCACGAATGGCTCAACGAAAATTCCACGCGGCCGAATCTTTCTCGAGCTTCCCATTAGCCCGTAAGCCTAACGAGGTCGATGATCACGCCTCTCGTCTAATGGAATTATTTTTGGACCGCCAATTAGTCATTGGGGAATATCTTCTTCTTCTTCTTCTTCTTCTTTTTCTCTCGTAAGAAAAGATTAACCTTTTGCGATTCGATCGAGAGATGCTGATCGGATCAACGTTTCGAAACTTTATCCGGTGAATCGGTGAAAAGAAGAAATGAAATTTCAAAAAGATAAATATTTTGTTAAAACTAAAATTATATTCCATAATTTATACATAATGATAATCGGAAATTAATTGTAATGGTAAAATGGTCGAAAAGCGGTAATAGTAACTTTATTCGAAATTTTTAACTGGTTACTTTTTCGAGTTAATGCCCAACTCCGAACGTATCTCAGTACTAAAAATTTATGACAAGATATTACAAGGAGTTGGGTTAGGTTAGGAATAGTGGTCGAAAAGCTAATATAGCTGCGAATAAACGTTATTCGAGCATTTTAAGAAGTGAATTATTTGAAGTAGAAGTTATTTATATTTGAAGTAACTTTATTCGAAATTGTTGCTCGACTCTGGACATATCTCAGTACTAAAAACTTGTGACGAGATATTATAAGGAGTTAGGCTAGGTTGAATACAATTTTTTTTCTTTTTCTCTAAACTATTCTCGCATTCGTCGTCTCAGTTCATCGAGTTATTCTTCTCGCATTCGGGACGAGAAAATAATTAGATCTTCCCTTCTTGAAGCGCTAATTCGAGCGATATTCTTGCGGTACGCGTGTAGCGTTTGCACAAGTGGCTGTTCATTTCCCTTGCGGGCAACGAAAAGCCGAGGGGAGAGAGGGAGAGAGGGAGGAAGAGAGAAAGAGAAAGAGAAGAGCCGTTAATTTAAACGGAGAAAGGCGTCGTGGGTTGCTAAACGATGAACAATAAACGTGACTCACAAGCTCGACTGCGCGTTTCCTTTATTTGCGAGTGTATCGTTCGAGAAGCGAACTCACTCTCTCCCTCTCTCCCTCTCTCTCTCTTCCCCTTGGCCTGTAACTTTTAATTAGTTTGACCTCGGCTATGCATCGAGTTCTTTGGAGATGTTTGGAGAGACGGTTAATTCTTTGAAAACATCGTAAACCGTCGATTCGATCCGCTCAGATTTTTAGTGATCGGCTCTCTACGAGAATATTCTCGTGGGTGGCCGAACGATTTACATAAAATCGTGGTCCTCGAGAGCACGACGCGTGGGCGATTCATCGAATGCATTCGAATTCGATCCACTGTCGCTTAAAGGGAAGAGTCTGATTTAAAATCTTCGAAACAATCGGATATCGACTAAATTTTATTCAATTTTGTTTTATCCATTACATGTTTCGAGGAACGTATATCAAATTTATCTCTCGAACCCAATCGATTTCATTCTATTTCGTTCGAATAATCCAATCGAATAATTATTATTAATCGGTGTGGTTCGAAATCGAATAAGGCAAAACTTAAAACCTTCGAACCTACGTTTCTCCCAAACGTAGATGATAATAATAGCTCGCTCACCAATTTAATCTCCTCTTATCTGTCCTTCGGGTTAATTACTCCCCTTGGAGATCGCGTTTCACCCGGTCAATTTTCGAAATGACTCTTTTTCCAGATCGCGTGCATCGTGACTCACCTTTTTTCGTCGCCACGCGTTTCCAACTAAATATCTGTGGAAACAACTGTGGAGGCCCAAGAAAAGGAAACGTGAAATATATAACAGGACGGAACGAACTTCGCCTGATAAACAAATTCGATTTGTTCGCGATTAAAATCAGCGAGATGCATGTCTGGACGACAATGACATGGCGCGATATCAATGATGACCAGAGAAATGTGAAAGAAAAGACGCCGGGCTAGACTTCTCGTTTTCCATTTTAAAAGAAACGTGTCAGCCGTTCCAGCGAGACAAGAAGAAGAATACGGGGACAGTGTGTTGGCATCGTATCGCTTCCTCTTTTGTTTCCTTCCACCGAATAATCACGAATACCGGCGCAACAGAAACCGGTCGCGATTGCTTCCTCTCCCCGGCTTTTCTCATTTCCCGATGGAGTCGCTGCTCCTCCTTCTTCCTCCTTTCCTTAAACGGGATATCAACTTCGCCTTTCGTTCTCTCTCTCTCTCTCTCTCTCTTCGGCAATTACTCTCTTCGGTCGGCGAGTATCGTTTCCCCTCCGCAAAGAGGTCACGTTGTCTGTCCACGTTTGTCGGATACGATTAATTCCATTCGTGTCGCGCGTGGCGGCCGCTAGAGGCTGTTTGAAAATGCGAACGTGAGGCGCGCGTGAAACACACTCGACATCCAATCCGTTACAAAGCTTGTCCTTTGTTTCGATTTGTCGGAAACTTCGATCGTCGAAACGAACGCGTAAACCGAAGAAGAAGAAAAATGTTCGGTCGATCGATCGAAAGAAAAGCGAGGAAGAAGAGGAAGAAGATCTCGATCCTTTCGAATTACGGAACGATGGAAAAAGGGAGGAAAAAAGGAAGAAAGGTATCACTAACCTTCTTCACGAAGGTTAAAGGAAGAATTTCTCTCTCTCTCGACTATTTTCTACCTCGCTTTCATACCGTTGGACAAAAATACACCCGATGGCACTCGTTTCAGAGCAGACGTTTCTTAAATAAGCGAGCGCCCGCGCGCGGGGAAGTCCCTTCGGAAGAAGGGGGAAACGCACGGAACGAATCACGTTCGCCCGCCACTTCCGTTTCGGAACGATGCTACAAATATGCTCGCTACACGTGTT